TGTGTGTGTTTGTTTGTGTGTGTGGGTCTGTGTGTGTGGGTGGGTGGGTGTGTGTGTGTGTGTGTGCAGGTGCAGCTGTTAGCTGGGGGAATGTAGCCTCACAGACTGTCCAGAAGCCGTGGGCAGACAGGAACACAGCGTATCACAGAGGCAGAACACCTGAGCAGAGGAACTACACACAGGTAACACTAGAGCATCACACACGTCACATGACATGCTGCTCTGACTCTTCTGACTTATTCTGCATCATCTGACCTGCAGGACTTCCAGATGAGCTTTGGAGGTCGTGCAGGAGGACAGAGATCGACTCCTTCAGAGACACCCAACACACACCTCACACCTGAGCCACTGTACTTTCAGGTACACACACACACACACACACACACTCACTCACTCACTCATGCACACACACACACTCACTCATGAACAAACACACACACACACTCACTCATGAACAAACACACACACACACTCACTCATGAACAAACACACACACACACTCACTCATGAACACACACATGCTCGGAGCGCAGAGGGGAAATTGTTGACACTCCACTCACATACTCTGGTGCTGATTGTCTGTCTGTTGTTCAGGATGAGGACGAGTTTCCTGATCTGGCCACGGGTGGGAATAAACCAGAACCAGTTCAGCCCAAACTGCCCAAGAACCTGGTGAGTGTTTGACAGAAGCAAACAGGAAATCTGAGCTCAAAAAAACACTCTAAACTAGGGATGCATGATATTATCAGAACGTTATCAGAACCGGCCGATAAAGGAAAAAAATGTGAACGTGGAGAGACTTGGTGTTGTTTCAAAACAAAGGGAAATATATATCATATCGGCATCGACTATCAGCCAAAATGAAAAATATCGGCAAATCGGATATCGGCAAAATCCCCTACTCTAGACTTCTGTGTGTGTGTGTGTGTGTGTGTGTGTGTGTGTGTGTGTGTGTGTGTGTGCAGCTGGATAACCTTCCGGAGAATTCTCCCATAAGCATCGTGCAGACGCCCATCCCCATCACCAGCTCTGTGCCCAAGAGAGCCAAGAGTCAGAGGAAGAAGGCGCTCGCCGCCGCTCTCGCCACGGCACAGGAGTACAACGAGATCAGCATGGAGCAGAAGAAGCTACAGGTACAAACACACTCACACACACACACTCAAGTCAGTCCTGATATTCAGATCTGTTGTGGTTGGAGAACTCAGCATGAGTGTGTGTGTGTGTGTGTGTGTGTGTGTGTGTGTGTGTGTGTG